AGGCATCATTCGAAATGATGTTTTTAAAAAGAGATTGGATTTAAGAAATAAGTTTAAAACTAATTAAGTTTGAAAATAAAGTTTGTGGGGGAGGTTTTTTTCATTGGTTAAAAAAAGGGATGGGGGCAAGGAAGAGTGCCCAGCAACCACCCCGATAGGCCCTCACCAGTGGGATTATAAAACCCCTGACCACGCCGGAACACCTCTCAAGACCAGACTTAACTAGGTTAACATAGCGGTCAACCACTCAAGCTCCAATAGGAACTCCAAAACTCGAATTTCCAACTTCAAGGTGAGGAGTAAGGCCGGTATCCACTAGACCACTACTACTTGGTGGTAGTTCCCTCTCCATTTTCTTCTCCCAAAGGACAGCCCTTTGCTACATAGCAACCTCCCCACTGCCGCAAGAAAAACCACCTAACTCAACCTTGATCCCAATGGGTACTATCAAAGTGAACATTGATCTAGATAACAATCTCAACACAACCATGAATCCTCTAAACCATGAGGAATTCAGCAGGCAAGGCCACATGATTGTGGACTTCCTTGCAGACTACTACAAAAATATTGAGAAATATCCAGTTCGAAGCCAAGTTGAACTGGGTTACCTTCGAAAACGCTTGCCAGAGCTTGCTCCAAATGAGCCTGAAACTATAGAAACAATTCTAAAAGATGTGCAAAAGGATATCATACCTGGTTTAACACATTGCCAAAGTCCAAACTTCTTTGGTTACTTCCCTTCCAATGGAAGCGTAGCAGGATTTATTGGTGAAGTGCTTAGCTCTGGCTTTAATGTTGTTGGATTCAACTGGATTTCATCACCAGCAGCCAGAGAGCTAGAGAGCATAGTGATGGACTGGTTTGGAAAAATGCTTAACTTTCCCATTTCATTTCTTTTCTCTGGCGGTGGTGGTGGTGTTCTGTTGGGATTTAACACGATTTAAATCCACTAACAAACACACACAATCGAAGAACAAATCAAGAATATAAAGCAATAAGAAACAAGAAAGAACAAGACACAGATTTTACGTGGTTTGACAATTTGCCTACATCCACGAAGCTGTAGAGATTTCACTATTGAGAGAGTTGAATACAG